GACAGACGTTCCTTATGGCTCGCCGTTTAAATGACGCAAAAACGTACTCTCCGAGAAGAAACCCTCCAAGCCGCCGTGTTCGGGTGACGCGAAGAAACTTGCCAACTCTAAATAAATCTCCCTTACGCCATAACTCCTCGGAGATGGCTGTAATTCGGAATATTTTCGGGCCGGCGTCGCCATCAGCCAAAACGCACTCTGAACCTACTCGCACCGCCATCATGTCACACGTCAAAATAAGTGTGCACTCCTCATAAATCTTAGCTCATGGCAATCTGTTGGAACGGTTTACATTCATAAGTTACGAAGTACACTAACTGTACAACAGAGTGTGTACACGTGCAAGTTTTTGCCGAGAATGATGCGAACATTAATTAGGTTCTTACCTGTCGGGGCAACATTGGGTACTTGCAGCTCCCCGGGGACGCTGTCTGTGAAGTTCGCCTCTCTTATCTTCTGCTCTTCTTTCACTTCCTCTACCTCTTCGTTTGACAAAATATTTTCTTTCTTCGTCTCCTGTTTGCAGCTCACTTGCGTTTTTCCTTCCTCGACATTATATTTCTGTTCTTCCCCCATTCCCTTTACTTGCTCCTTCTCCTGCTCCTTTACCCTGTATTCTCCACATTTCCTATCATTACCTCCCTCCTGCCCCTCCCTCCCTAGCAGAAGCTCCTCCTCTTCCTCCTCCTCGCCTCCTTCAGTGCTCGCCCCCTCGTCCGCCTCGCCGCGTCCGTCGTCGATGTCGACGATCACGAGGTCTTCCCCGAGCTCGTCGCTCGACCTGAGGACGTCCACGATGGACCTCGTTCCAGATGGGTTGAGCGACAGGATGTTGTCGTTGATGAAAATAGCCACGTCTTCTCGGGACGGCTCGTTTTTTACGGCGACAATGACGTCACCGTCTCCGTCGTCGTCGCAAATGTCGTTTTCGCCAGCGGCGCCGATTTCCTCTGTGTCGCCAGTCTCCCGCACGGCGCCCGTGAGGACCAATTCGTCGTTTCGATCCTTGACGTCGAACACCACGATGTCTGGTTCCGTCTCGTCTCGGCCGGTGATGTAATCAACGATCTCGAACTGTTCCGTGGGGCTTATAACGTCCATGTTGGTGGTGAGAAGCTCCTTATCCTCCCCGCCTCTCTCGCGCGCTGAGTCACGGGCGGAGAGACTGGCCTCAAGAATGCACGCGCCGCCCTCCCCCCTCCCGCCCACCCCGCTGTCGCTTACACTGTCGCTTTCCTCTTCATCGCGCTCGTCGTCATCAATTTCTGTCCTTTTTCGCTTCTTAATCTCCTCACTCTCTTTAGGTACATTTCCTTCCTCCCTCGGTTCTTCTGAGTCCCTTTTCTGTGCTTCGACATTTTCTCTCTTGCCTTCTTCAACCAAATGTTTTTCTCCTTCCCCTCCGTCTGTCTCTCTCTCTTTATCTCGGGAGTCTTCACCTCGCTCATTTCTCTCATGCCTCTCGGTAATTCTCTCACCCCCGTCCCTAGCTTCCTCTTTCGTCAGCCTTCCATCCCATCCTCTGCCCTCCATGAACTGATCTGCGTCAGACGCCGCAGCCTGCGGGAGGAGGCTCTCGACCTCTGCTGCATCGGCGGCGGCGCTATCTTCTGACCGGATAATTGCCACTTCCGCCTCGCTGGCGGTTGTGGCTACGGCGGACTCGGTAGCTTGGGTGTGGAAGCTGGGAGGATTTCCTGCTCGGCTTTCTGCTGCTTGCCCGTCACTCGCGGATGCAGCATCTTGATTGGCGATAACTTGGCAGGCAACCGCTGTGCTGTCAGCGACGACCTCCAGACGGTCTGCGAGCGATGATGCACTGCCACTGTTGATATTTGTCTCGCTTTGTTTTTCGTTTTCGTTACAGAGAACCTCATCTGGTTTGCCAGCGGTGATCTCGTCTTCATCTACATGGCCATTATGACTAATAATGTCGGTTTCGATTGAATCAGCCTCGACCTCTTTGCTCTCAATGACAAAATCTGTATTGCCACCAACTTCCCCTTTACCAACCAAATCCTCTGTAAAATCTGCTGTGATTTCTAACTTGCTGATGGCTTCTGCTTGGTCACTCACGGCCTCCTCGGTCTCGTTACTAATGGCCTCAGTTCCGTCACTGTCGATACCATCCTCGACTTTAGCAGCCTCTGGGATATCAACTCCGGAAGCAAATAACGCACCACTGATTTCTACCTGCCCACTGTCACGGTCCAATGGGTGGTCAATTGCTCTTCGATCTACATTCATTTCTGACGGATTGCTCAACGAAGTTTCATCACTAACACTAGCATTGTGCCCTTCGTTTCCTTTATTATCGCTGACAGCTTCTGGGGGATCAGAGCTGACTTTTTCGGACTGGACACTGACAGCTCCGCCAGCAGAGTGCCCGGGTTGCTGCAAACTGTCCCCCAAGCGAGCGTTCACGTGTCCGCCAGCAGGTGTGTGGACCGTGTACACTAAGGTCTCAGTGCCGAACAGTGCACGGTCGCTGCGTGCATGG